TCTTCTTCTTCTTCTTCTTCTTCTTCTTCTTCTTCTTTTTCTTCTTCTTCTTCTTCTTCTTCTTCTTCTTCTTCTTCTTCTTCTTCTTCTTCTTTTTCTTCTTCTTCTTCTTCTTCTTCTTCTTCCTCTTCTTCTTCTTCTTCTTCCTCTTCTTCTTCTTCTTCCTCTTCTTCTTCTCTCTCTATTTTTCCCAATACTTTCAGCCAGCAAACGCAACGCTGCCCAAAGCCTTGTGCTGGTGCAGAGGAGGACCCAAAGCAGAAACTGGTGGGCAGGACAGCTTCACCTGGCAGCTGTGCCGAGCTGATGTCTTCATGAGACTGCAGCCTCAGAGCGGGGCAGTGCCCTCTGGAGATGGCCGGCTGGCTGCCTCTTCAACTACTCCACTTTGGGGTGCTTAAAGTGAGGTGGGGCAAGAACCCCAGCACTGCACCGAATCCTGCTCTCACATGGGTTTGGGGCCGTAACTTGGCTTTCTGGTATCTTGTACCCAAGAGTAAGCCCCAGGTGAGTCCCTGAGGACCAGAGGAGTTAATGCAGATTTTGAACATAGTCACCAGCAGATGACCACGCCGATAGCGAGATCCACCTCTGGGATCGTTGTAGGGATGGAGCCGTGGTGGTGGTGATGGCCACAACCGAATGTGCAGGCTGTCACCCTTCAAGTGCCAATTTGTTGAGGGTTTTGGGGAGGGTGGGGGGAATGGAAACCAAATCGCCACTGACACAGAATGTATTTGAAGGATTTATTGCAATGCCTGAAATCAGGAGGCCTGAGCCCCGCCGTGTGCTCCTTCACCGTTGGCTGCTCTCGCTCCCCACTGGAGTCAGACCAATAGGAACTGGAATCGCGCGACGGTCGGGCCAGCTCAGGCAGACTGATTCTGTCCCCCACGCTGGTGTAAATCAGAAGTAATTGCACGACACAAATAATTTTTGTGAATTTACATGCCAGCATGCAGGGGAGGAGAGGCCAGCTCTGGGCTCTCCATAGCTGCTGTTGATGGGCCAACTCCCAGTCCCCAACACTGGTGGAAGTGCAGAGTGGGTCCAGTTACACTCATGGAACTATTCTGGATTTACACCAGGGTAAGAGGCTGCTGGATTTGACCCAGTAGAATTCCTCTAATGCACTAGATGAGATGAATGTACGCTCCAGAGGAAGCGAGGCCACCCCATCCGCTCGGGGCGGGGTGGTTTGAGAGGCTGCAGGGAGGTGGCATCTGTCCTGTGGACATTTTCATGGGCTTCTGTCCTGTGGGCAGCACAGACTCAGGCCCCATATTTTGCCCTGGGAGCGAGTAACTCCCCACAGCAGTGAAAGATGGGGGGGCAGCCCTCTCTCCAGCCCCAGGAAGGGGAGTGGGGATGCTGGCAATCCCCCAACAGCCGCCTGCTGATGGCAAGCGCAGCGGCCAGGCGAGCCGTCGGGGATGAGCCGTGGGCCTGAAAAGGGCCGTTCCCACTGCCGTGGGGTGTGGGAGGAGGCGCGGGCTGCTGTCGGGTACTGGGGGTCCGGGTACCCCCTTGCACACTCATCCACCTCTGCGTGCTGCAGGGAGAAAGCTCCTCTGAGCCTAAAACTTCACTTTCCGGCTCTGCCGAGCCTGCAGAAGTTCGGAGCCAAGCCGCATCGTGTGTTGCACGGAGGCACAACTTGCCTTCTTCTTCCTCCTGAATGGAAATGCGAGGCTGAGACAGAAACAGCCTCTTGTGTTGACAGTGAGAAGCCTCCTGGCTCTGGCGTCTGTCTGGGTGGATCATTTCCCCTTCCCTGGTGGGTTTTGTCGCTGCCTGAACCATTCTGCTGCAAAGCTTGTTCATCCCAGGCTTTTTTTTTTTTTTTTTTTTTTTTTTTTTTTTTTTTGGTCGGGGGGGGACAGGAGAAATGATGCCGTGAGGTTTCGGAGGGATGGAGAAAGGATGGAGACAGTAATTTGATTTTGCCTCATGATCACCAGTGAAAGATTTCGGTGGGCTGTGAGCTCCGGCTACCTGCCGGGCCCGCAGATGGAGAGAGGGATTTGCAGCGGAGGAGAGGAGTCGGAGCTTTGCTTGCTGTATTTTAGGAGACACCCAAGGAAAAGCACAGACTGAGCAAGTTCTGCCTCAGGAAAAAGCCAATTCCCAATTTTCCCTGTGATGGGAAGCTAGTATGGATGCTTTCCCCGTGCACACATCACCTGCAGAGTTTTGGCTGCTCAGGCCGTTAATTAGCAGGGGATGCTCATCACGTTAATCCAGCGATGCTCTGTAAGAACTGTGTTGGTTTGGAGGAGAATAGGCTTAGGGCTTTACTAAGCCACGTGGCTCCTGTGAATCACGAGGGCCTGATCCTGCTTGAGGGGGTGAGGACCAGCTTGAGGGATGTCAGAGGAGCCGCGCTGCGAGATTATGGCTTGGCTCAAAAGCAGCTGCACAGTCGAACAAGTGACAATCAAATGGTCTAAATGAGTCTGGATTTATCGTCTTCCCATACAAACCCCGTCAAACTTGTTTCGCTTTATGTGTCATGAAAATGGGTCTCAGTCAACTCGGCAGAGTTTGTGCTGAGAAATAAAATACATCCCGGGGTCCTGAGTCAGGCGTTCGCCGGTATTTAGAGCTAAGAGCCGATCACAGCCTCTGGCAGGTTGGCAACAACGTTTGCTCTCCGGTTTTGTTCAATCGCAACTCAAAATGTTGTCGTGTCCCCCCACCCCGCAGCCCACTGGGAAAACGCTCCTGGTTGGAGCTGGGAAGGGAGAGCCCCCACCTCACGGCGTCCAGTTCCCTTTTCTAACCTCTTCTAAAAGCACCTGCAGGTCTCGGCGTTGCGAGGTAGCACCTGCGATGCCCAAGGTCTTGGGGACCTGAGGACTTGGCCCCCCCATCTCCCAGATTTATGCGTGGCCCCTTTATCCAGGTAGTCAGGATGGTGCAGACCCGTCTGAATCCCCCCAGCTCTGTCCCTGGCTTGTCCTCCTGGGTGTTGAGCAGGACGAGGTGCACGTCTGAGTAGCACATTTTGGTGGCCCCATGGTCCCAAACTCTCGGGGAACATGAAACCATGGTGTCCCCACGCTGGAACACGGAAACTTTTGAGCCAACACAAGGGCGTTGAGGTGCTTTTTTTTATTTAAAAAGCAACAGAACGGTTCAGCAGACACAAACCTGACCCTTACGGATCTCAGAAGACCCTTTCGCTCGGCGGCAGCTCGAGGCTGGGCTCCCTCGTGCAGCGGTCGCAGCACCGGCTCGACGTGGTCGTTGCCATCGCGGTGGGACCGTCGGTGAGCCCCAAAATACCGTGCTCAACTCTTCCTACAGTTTTTTTTCCTTGAAAACGAAAAGCATGGAGCTGGGAAAGCGGTAGCACATTAGTACTGTTTATTAGGACAGCAAATTGTGCCAGAAAAGACTACACACAACAGCTAATGATAACATTATGCACATTCACTTAATAGCTAATTAATCTCTTCGACTTTCCTAAGGTACAAAAAGGAGCCTTCGGTTTGCGAGAACAACCCAACCATTTGCATTTCTTATTTCCTATAATTGGGGAGGTGGAAGAAATGGGGAGCGAAAAACCCACCACACACACATCAAGTTGTTCACCTCAGCAGATAATAATAATGAGATGATCATCTCCTGTAGTATTTAATTAGAAATGTCGCAGTTAATTGATTTCTTGGCTATGTTAATTAAGAAATAATGAGGACCAGGTTGCAGCAAAAGGTGCCAGCGAGAAGTTTTGAGTCCCTCCCGGATGATGTGTCTGTTGGCTGCGCCCCGAGCCGGCCTGGGGACAGCCCCGGGGTTGTGTCACCCATGTCCTGAACCCACCTTGAAGCTTGGGCCCAGCTCAGCTCCCTCCATTTTCGCTTGTTGCTCATTTTTCTGCTCTGCGTCTCCGCGTGTGGCCGGGTGTGGACAGCTGCCCAGGTCCCGCCAGGACAGGCAGCGGGTCACCCCGTTTGCTGCCTGCGCATCGTTGGGATGCAGGGGGGGGCCCTGCCACCCTGGGACAGGCGAGGCTGGTAGATCTCAGGGTTACACCGATGCCACGTAGCCGAGAGGTGTAGGGATGTGTGTCCCCCACCCCGCTGCAGTGGGCTCCTCTTCCAGGGCTGTGATGGAGATCCGGAGCCTGGGGTGCCCTTCAGCCGCGCGGGGCGAGCGCGGGGGCCACGGACAGCCTTCGAGCAAAGGTTTTTAGGGTACAAATACGCTGCCCTGAGAAGCTGGTGCGGCCCCGAGAGCGTTCCCGGCTCGGGTGTGCAGGTGGTGGAGTCTTGAAGCGGGCCTGGTGGTGGCAGATACCCCCAACCCCGGCTCGCTTTAGGAAACGGTCACTTTCGGCTTTTATTTTTCCCACTTTTTTTACGACTTATTTTGCACCCAACCTCCTCAGCCGCCCCTTCTCACGCCGTCGCCCTCCGGCACCCGATCTGAATGCACCTTATAACCGCGTTACCGGCCGCGGCGAGGGGCGAGCCGCCCGCCAGCACCGGCACGTCTTCCAACTGCCCTTGGCC